GCGTATAAAACCACCAGTTGTTGAAAAACTCAGTCATCAAACATTAACAGCTCTCAGAGCTGCACCGATAATTACCGCACAGCCTCCACCTCGTAATCATCGACGCTGGTAACTGAATGCTTAAAATATGCTCGCCGACAAATGATCAAAAACAAAAAAAAAAAAAAAAGGAGGGTAGAATTTTTTTTACTGAATTTGCCGATCAGAAAAAAAAAGCTTAAGTTAATTACTGCTGTCTCAAATTTATCATCACTAATTCTTGACTTGTTTATTTGTCAGAAACAAAAATACAGTATCCTTTTTCTTATTTCTTGATAAATTAGGGTTTTCAATTTCTTGTCCTCTTTCTACCATCTTATGGTAACTTGAAGTAAAAAGACTTTTTTTGCATACCTGCTATATAGATGACATTACCGTATGTGCAAAAAAAAATTAAATGAATAGAAGTTGCCATTTGTGTTTCTTTTCAAACGTTTCTTTCTGAGAAATTTGTTGGAAAGAGTAGTAAACACTTATAAATAAATTTGCGAACAAAAGTCGTAAACTCCTAAACATACCTGCCATTAGAAGCCACTTTAATTAGTGCTCCACTTCCACCTCTCATAGCATGCACTCTAATTGATGTCTTTTTATTATCAGATTGATACATTCAAAATTGGTTCAATTTAACCAGGTACATAAAAATTAAACAAATATTTTAGTTGCTGCAATACAAACAGTTACACAGGTGGCATACAAAGTTTCCAATCTTAAAAACGAATTAATTTCGCCACTAAAGCCTTCGTTATATTACTTTTTCAACTTCTCTAAAATAACTTTTGTCCTTGTTTAACCTTTACAAACTTTTTGGTCTGAAAAAGTATTAGGTAGTTCGGTCTAGCCCCTGACACATAAGAACAAAAATGCAGAAATTGCTACTCTCGACTGAACTGATTTCTACCTAATGGAGAGTGGTACATGCAGCCTAAAGGTCGTGCAATAGAAGAGCAATGCTCTCCGTTGAATGATAACCGGCCCAGTATGAAAAGCTGTCGTAATGTGGTTACGAGTAATTGTCAGCCCAATTCCTGTTCGGTTCAAATAACAACCAAAATTTCTCATTTTCTTTCAAAATTTTAGAAAAAAACCGAATGAATGAATTAAAATTTTCATGATACATTAGGGATACATCTGTCATCTAATAGTGGCTAATATAACTAATAAAATCGTCCACTTAGTTTCGCTCTAGTCTACACTTCATAGCAACTTAAAAATTCCGAAGTTGAATTTATCAACCTAATAGGACACTATTCTGCTGTACTTGTCAAATAAGTGCTTGTAAAAATAGTCTTGAAGCTGCCACCTGTTTTAAAAGTGCTATATTATTCACAGTTGTTTTCGTAGTTAAGCAATTACCGAAACCAATTAAAAGTTTTTGTTCTCAATTTTTTCTTCAAAGTAAGAAATGTTATGTATACATATATAACATAACGAAGAAAGAGGGAAGATGAATAATAGAAAACCAAAAATTCTCAGAACAGGTACTCTCACTTTGATGACAAGCCAGTAATTGAGGGCAGTTGTCTAAATTAATCTGGAAAGATTTTGTGACCTTCTTTCAAAATTTAAGATTTCATATCAAATAAATGATAAATACCTATGTGCATTAAAAACGAAGTTGACAGTGAGACAACAGATACCTCACAAACTTCCAAAGCTGCAGCAGACGGCTTTTTTTTCAGCACTACAGAACCTCCCTCCAACGGTTTAAAAGTAGTCAGTTTTTGACGTTGTACTGTTAACTGTAATAAAGATGAGTGCTTTGTAGATTTCGATTATTCGTCTGACTAGATAATAAGACTAATTCCACGGCAACATAAGAAAATGATCACAGGTTACCTAATACTTGCAGAGTGACGTACAGAGACGTTCTAAACGTTGGTAGAGATAGCATAAGAAAGTACTGAGAAACAGAGTGTAGGAATAAAACAAGGAAAGAATATTGTCGAAGACTTTTGAGGGATGGTACCAAATGGCAACGTGGAACAGCATCTTCTCACCCTACTTCCAGATACTTCTCTTTTCTAAAAATCTAGAACCTTTCATCTTTGGAAAAAACTTAATCAAGAACAAGCCAAAATTGCACGAAGTAGTTTTCTGGTTTCTTAATCCACAAATTTTGTGCGTTATTGGAATATCAAAGCTGCCACTATGTTGATAAATTTGCACTTGTTCTTATGTTTCACATTTTGATAAAAAATTATGAGCTGAGATTCAAAGTAGAGCATTAACTACACGAAAAGCTCATATTTCAAGAAAAAAAACCTTTTTTAGGTGATAATATTTACCCTTCTTCAAGACCCGACTGTCTGAACACTTAAAAACTGACATGTGGAAAACAATTTCATTGTCCTCCAAAACCATTAATAAATTTTATTTATTTGCTTCAAAGTTGAGAAGCAAATAATGTGTAAATCTCAAAAAGTATTGGGTAATCCTGAACTTTACACTACCAAATCTTTCAGACGTCTGAAGAGTCCTAACTCGAGTATTCGTGAAACAGCTCTGAAGATAATCCATACGGATGTTTCCGCACGCCAAGAAGTAGTGAGTGCCGTGGGTAAACGACAAAATTTCGTAAAGTGGAGAACGGCTACTGCTACCGCTCTTCTGGTGCACCTGCAAAGCTCTTGGTTTTCTTACGCTGCTACTGCAAATGTAATTAGCCCTTGCGAACTGCAACAGCAATTGTACACTCTTGTAGGCCTATTTCTTTAATTCTGTAAAGACTTCGGAATCTTTATTCCTTGGTCACTTTTCTTCAAAGACATCTTTTTCACTCTGACAACGAACATGTTGTAGAAGTGCAAATTTTCCCGATGATAATAATAATTAAGAAGCGGCTCAGTCATTTTCCTATTCTTTTCATTTAAATTAATCCTTTTATATTCATAGTGAGTAAACCTCTTGAGCACTTGTTTTCGCCCAGCATCTGTACTTAGCATAGGAATAAAATAGGGCTTAAAATAAAGACCTTTAACTGTCTGCCAGATGTGACCTATAATGGTTGAAAGGATCAATGATTAAAAGTAACAATTTAGAACGAGTAGACAACGACGACGAATCGGAACAATGGAATTCAAAAACTTTAAACATAGACGACATTCTAAGTGAATCAAACAGGAAAGATTTTCCCGAAGAGTCCGATGACTACCTCATATATGGCCTAACTCTGGTCCACTAAGGGGCCAGTTCTGTAGCCTTTCTGCAAACTTCATATCAAAGAGCGACAGTGAATAGTAGTTTCACTTTTCCCCCACAATGCCTTTGCTGTCACGGCGGCGAGCAGCAGCTCAGAAATACGGTTGCACTTGTCGAGAGCCAAAAAAAAAGGTGGAAATTTTTATGGGATAGAATAATTTATTTACTTAACACTACACCTTCTAAGTAGCCAAGTGATTTACATAGCAAGAGTCGGTTTCTTTATAAAATTAGTTACAGAGCTCATTGATTTTAGAATTCAGAAGACCGTGTCATAAAACAACGAAGTTACTGGTTGACTCTATTTTATACACCATCCTGCTTCCCCAAAATATTCAGAAAAAAGAATTGGGGTAACGGCTATGTGAACTGAAGTTGGAAAATGGGAAACTTTTTGGAGTCCGT